CCATGCAAGACCCTGAACCCTAAACCTAAACCCTAAGCTTTAAACCCTAAACCCTAAACCCGAAACCCGAAACCCTAAACCCTCAACCCTAAACCCTCAACCCTCAACCCCAAACCCCATGGCAGGACCCAGCAGACAGGATGCCGGGGGTTCTGAGAGTGACGAGGCTCGGCAGGGACAGTAACACCCTAAACCCTAAACCCTAAACCCTAAACCCTAAACCCTAAACCCTAAACCCTAAACCCTAAACCCTAAACCCTAAACCCTAAACCCTAAACCGTTTTAGGGGTGTAGGACTTTAGGGGTTTAGGGCTTTTGGGTTTTAGGGTTTCGGGTTGAAGGGCTTAAGGGCTTGCATGTGGAGCCCTAAAACCCTAAAACCCTAAAACCCTAAAACCCTAAAACCCTAAAACCCTAAAACCCTAAAACCCTAAAACCCTAAACCCTAAAACCCCAAAACCCTAAAACCCTAAACCCTAAACCCTAAAACCAGGGATACATCGACCCGCGGGAGTTCTGGCTGGAGAGCGAGCTCCAGGCCTATGATGGAACCCTGGCGCCAGGATTAGGGTTTAGGGTTTAGGGTTTAGGGTTTAGGGTTTAGGGTTTAGGGTTTAGGGTTTAGGGTTCTAAATTCAGGGTCCAGGGCATAGGGTTGAGGGTTCCTGTTGGGTGGGGCCTCTTGTCAGGAATCCTGGCAGACGAACCCTAAACCCCAAACCCTAAACCCGGATTTCGAACTCTCCGGGGCCCACCTCTGAACGCTAAACCCCCATCCGACCTTGAACCCGAAACCCTAAAGGCCCTTAGCTTTCCGACAGGCCCCTATCCCTACGCCCATGGTGCTCCGATGCTTCAGCCCAGGGCTAGCCAGTTCTGATGCTGAGTCCATATGGCCCAAACCCAAAAAGCTGGCATCAAACCTAAAACGGGTTTAGGGTCCAAGCCTTAGAGTAGAGCTTCAAGGGCTCCGTTTAGGGGTTAGGGCTTAGGGATGTTAAATCTGGCTTACGATTGGGCGCGCCTGAAGCATGATGAAGTCAGGTTTCCTCCCTGATCTTACAAGGGCATCTTGCGCACCTTGAATAGGGTTTTTAGGGCATCGCAAGTTGAAGAGTAGGCCTGAGACAGTTTCAGGTTCCAGTGTTCATGTGGGTGGCTGTCAAAATCATGATCCCTTTTTGGGGTACCCTAAGTATTAGGTGCCGTATTATAATAGGGATCCCAAAAGGGACCATCGTTTTGACAACCACCCATGTGTGTGTATATATATATATATACACACATACAGAAAGAGACGGAATACAGGCCCGCATGTTGAGGGTTCGTGTTGAACTGTAAGTCCTTAATAGGGATTCTAATACGGGGGGTTACTATAATCCCGATTAAGGACAGCGAGTATAAGGAGGAACATCCCAACTTCTACTCTACGGTCACGACGTATGGAGTGCAGGTTCAGGCTCGGACTCTCGGGGCCTGGTCTCAAGGCCTCAGAGCCGGGGGGAAAGCGTGGGGGGAAAGCAACAAAATGCTTCATCCTTTCTTTTCTTCTCCCCCAAACAGTCTACTGTTGGGGTTCTAAATTCATTTAAGGATTGCCGACATTCTGAGGACTGTTGCCGGTTCCCGGCCTCCTTGTCTCCCTTTGTCTCCCTTTGTCTCCCTTTGTCTCCCTTTGTCTCCCTTTGTCTCCCTTTGTCTCTCTTTGTCTCCCTTTGTCTCCCTTTGTCTCCCTTTGTCTCCCTTTGTCTCTCTTTGTCTCCCTTTGTCTCTCTTTGTCTCTCGTTGTCTCCCTTTGTCTCCCTTTGTCTCCCTTTGTCTCCCTTCTTACCGGGTTGCTGTGCTCCTTGCCTCCCTTTGTCTGCCTTTGTCTCCCTTTGTCTCCCGTCGTCTCCACGGTTTCTTTGACATGCCTTTGACTGTTTGGGGTCTTCGGTGGTATAATTTGTTTTACAAATTTGAAAGGTTCTTTTTTTGTGCCGCCCCCACCCCGCTGCCCCAGGGCAGGAAAGACTTCCACGACAGCCCTCCAGGCCTAGAAGTCCAATTCCCAAGCACCGCTGGCTGGCAAAGAGTTGCCATGCTTGCGAGTCCTCTCAGCCGACACCGTTTTGGGGCACATCCTGGGTCGCTTGCCGGAAGCTTCTTGGCTTGGCCTCTAAAGTGCAGGGCTGGAAGGAGGATTGGTGGGTGCACTGTTTGCAGCCCTGTTCGAGGACCCATTGCCGTCTAGAAGGCGGCAGGGAAGGCAACCCTTAGGCCGCAGTGCCCTGCAGGCCGACCCATCCATCCATCCATCCAATTCGCAAGGCTCTCCTAGGCTTCTTCTTTGGGATGTTCCCGCTTATACCAACAGGCCTTAATAGTGATTCTAGCTGAGTACGCGCAACCGCAGCAGTAGTCCGCGCCTGTGTCGGGACGTGCCACTCGTGCAAGGGTTTGTGGCATTCACGCGGAATGCATCCATGTTATGTGGTGGGTTGATTTTCCAAGCCTGAACTTGAACCCTGTACTAGCTGTCGTGACCGTAGAGTAGAAGGATAAACGTTCGGATGCTTCTAATACGCGCGATCTGCAACGTAGCGAAGTAGTCACAATGTTATGATGGCGGGCCGGCACTGCGTCCTACTCTCCAAACGGCATGTTTTCTAGAATATGTGTATGTATATACATACATGTATAAAAATGTGTGAAAAAAGATAAAGTAAATACAAATATTAATCTAAAGATAATTATAATTATAAATCTAAATCTAAATATAAATATAAATATAAATATAAATATAAATATAAATATAAATATAAATATAAATATAAATATAAATATAAATATAGATATAGATATATATAAATATAAATATGAATATAAATATAAATATAAATGTAATAGAAGTATAAATATAAATACACACATATATATATATATATAAATAAAAATAAGAATAGAAACATAAACATAAACATAAATATAAATACAAATATCAATGTAAAAATAAATAGAAATAGAATATACTTAAAAATATATATAGAAATATGAATATAAATAGGAATCTGTATACATATATATATATATATATATATATATATATATAATAATCCTTGCGCACTAGGATGTTAAGCGCCTGCGTATACCCCAACTTGCAGAGGTTCTGCCAGCTCCACGGGACCCATCCTCCTTGCCGCGGAGGGCCTAGTGTTCAACGTGGCCTCTGCCAGGCAGAGGTTTAAGTTGTAGGGTTTAGGTTTAGGGTTTAAGGTTCAGGGTTTGGGGTTTGGGTTTGTGGTTTGGGCTTTGGGGTTTGGGGTTGTTGGGACCATGTGAATAGGGCGCAGGGTTTACGGCTTGCTGTCACGGTCTTGGGTCTAGGGTTGGGGCCAAAGTTTGACCCTAAACTCTAAGCCCACAAAGGTTCTTAAGGCTGGTTACGGGCTTGAGGCTGCTAAGTTGAGATTTGGTCTTTTGGAATATTCAGCAAGAGAAACGGTTAAGGGTTTTCGGGTTGGTGAGCGACAGGGGTGGAACCAAGGATGTCGCTGAGCCCTATGTAGGACGGTAGGGTTTAACTTTCAAGCGATCCACGGATAAGAAATTGGAATGGATGTTTACCCAAAGCCCTGAAGGCTTTGAAGACGCTTGCTTTAGGTCCACGGCGTCCAGCTCTGCAGGGGTCGCGGATAGTGCTAGAACAGTTTCAGCTTAAGGGTCTGAGGTTTCAAAAGATTTGGGATGAAGGTTCCCAAGCCCTACATCCTAAAGCCCAAACCCTAAACCCTAAACCCTAAACCCTAAACCCTAAACCCTAAACCCTAAACCCTAAACCCTAAACCCTAAACCCTAAACCCTTAACCCCAATAGTGCTTGCAGGAACTTGTACGGACCCGGCGGGAAGTATGCGGCGCTGTCTGGGCGGGATGCCTCCAGGATGCTGGGGAAGAACTCCTTGGAGGAGGAGCGCTGCATTTTGTGAGTTGTGCGCTGGAGTTTAGGGTTTAAGGTCGGGTTTTCGGACCCTGGACCTAAACCTAAACCCTAAACCCTAATCCCTAAACCGTAAGCCTCAGAAGTCAGCCACTTGCACCGTTTCCCAACCCCAGTTTTGTCTCACACCTAAACCAACCTAGGACCCAGACTATCCTATGCTTTGAACCCTAAACCCTAAACCCGCAACCCTAAACCCTAAACCCCAAACCCCAAACCCTAAACCCTAAACCCTAAACCCTAAACCCCAAACCCTAAACCCGCAACCCTAAACCCCAAACCCTAAACCCTGAACCCTAAACCCTCAACCTCTCAGCCCTATCAGGAGGATGCAGCCTCCCAGCAGTTGCCACTGAACCTGGCCGAGAGGGCCTTCCTGTCCGCCTGGGTGGGCCGCCGTAGCTTCGGGTTTAGGGTTTAGGGTTTAGGGTTTAGGGTTTAGGGTTTAGGGTTTAGGGTTTGGGGTTTGGGGTTTAGGGTTTAGGTGTCGGGGTTCTGGGGCTCATTTCGCTTTTTTGTTTGCCAGGATTTAGGCTTGGGTTCCAGGGCTTCTTTCCTGTTCACAAGGGCTCAGGGTTTAGGGTTTAGGGCTCGTTTTTCCAATGTCTTTCAGTGCTGGGAGCTTTTAGGGCCTTTGGGGGGGGGGGGGGGGTGCGGGGTGGGGGTCTCTGAGGTCGAACCCTAGACCCTGAATTTGTTTAGGTTTAGGGTTTAGGGTTTAGGGTTTAGGGTCTGGGTTTAGGGTTTAGGGTGTGGGCGTTGGTGTATCGAGATGCCGGAAGGTGATGTCCTTCAAAAACAAGTACCCCATTGTGGGGCGGCTGCAAGAGGAGGAGCCCTATACCCTAGACCCTAGACCCTAGACCCTAGACCCTAGACCCTAGACCCTAGACCCTAAACCCTAAACCCTAAACCCTAACCCTAAACCCTAAACCCTAAACCCCAAACCCTAAACCCTAAACAGGAGCAGGAGGAGGCCACGCCCGCCGCGCTGATCAAGGCCGCCGAGCTCGGTGACCTGGGCCGCCTGCGCCGGCAGTTGGCCCAGGCCGGGGGAGCCCAAGACGGTACGCCCCTAAGTAAGGGGTTTAGGGTTTAGGGTTCAGGGTTCAGGGTTCAGGGTTCAGGGTTCAGGGTTCAGGGTTCAGGGTTCAGGGTTCAGGGATGTAGATGTAGGTTCATTCGCAATGAGAAACAATGTGTAGTTGAAGGGAATCTCGGGGTCGTTACAGGGGCCTATTGGTATGGGCTCAGGGTTATGGTGTTCGGGCTTTTGGGCGTTTAGGTCCTCAATTGTAACGGGGTCGGCCCAATGCGGGGCGCAGCTCCCTGAGTGGACACAAGGAGTTGGGTGAGGGCACCTAGACGGTCCTAGGGAAGGGGGGAATCTGCTTGTTCTAGACGCCTCTCGGCCGGAAGCCCAGGCGGACTGTAGAGGACCAAAGGGTGCAGCCTTCCAGAATAGCTCCGAGTACACAGGTGCATGGGATGCCTCGCCAAGACGATCTCAACCCCTTCAGCTGGCTTGACTGCCCCCGCCAGCCGACTCAAGAGCCAGACCTAAACCCTATTTAAACCCTAAACCCTAAAACTCTTAACCCTACACCCTAAACCCTAAACCCTAAACCCTAAACCCTAAACCCTAAACCCCAAACCCCAAACCCCCAGGGAGCGGATGTGCGCTGGGCCGACGCGGACGGCCTCACTGCCCTCCACTGGGCAGCCCGCGCTGGGCAGCCCGCTGCCGTGGACGCCCTCCTGGCTGCGGGAGCCGAGGCGGAAGGCCATGCTGGGGTTTGGGGGGGGGGGGGGGGGGTTTGGGGCGGGGGTTTGGGGAGGGTTTGGAGTTTAGGGTCGTTTGGGGTTTCGGGGATTAGTTTTTTAATTTTTGTGGGAGGGGGGGGGGGTTGGGTCTTGGGTATTTTTAGGGGTAGGGTGGGGGTTTAGGGTCGGTCTGGGTTCAAAGGTTATGGGATTAACTGGATTTAGGTTTTGGGGGCGCAGGCGCTGACCGCTTGTGGGGGTTTAGGATGTAAGGTGTAGGGTTTACGGTTTAGGGTTTAGGGTTAAGCTTTAGGGGACTAAGCCCTGACTTCTTGTAGGGTTTCGGGGGGGGGGGGGGGGGTATTCTGTTATCAGTTATCAGGGTGTCGGGTTCGGGTTTCTCAGAGTTTGGACTCTCTAGCCCAACCCGTAAACTCAGGGCACGCTGTAGGGGTCGGAATAATTACGATTGATGTTCCCTTAGGGTCCCTTTATTAACCCCCAAAATCCTATTCTAATTATTCAGGCCCCTAGATGACAGCTTGCGGTATGGGAGTTGAGTGCCCTCGTGTACTTAGCACCTAAATAGCTGTCCAAGCTTAACAACAATGTGTATACCCGACATGAAGCTCCTCAACCAAATGCTCGAAAGCGTTTCGATTCAACACCAAGATGGTTGCTTTCCACGCGATTAGGAACGACAGGCATGCCCCTAAGACCCTACACACGTTTCGGTGCGGGGAACGGGGTGGGCCTTGGCAATGTGTTTTTTGGACAGGACCCTAGACCTCAAACCCTAAACCCTAAACCCCCAAACCCCAACCCCTAGACACCCAAACCCCAACCCCTAGACACCCAAGCCCCAAACCCTAAACCCTCAACCCTCAAACCCTCAACCCTCAAACCCCAAACCCTAAACCCCAAACCCTAAACCCTAAACCCTAAACCCGCAAAGGCAGGGACCTCAAGGGCCGCACCGGCCTCCACTGGGCCGCTTCCCAGGGCCACGCGGCCGTCGCGGAGAGGCTGCTGGAGAAGACGGACCCGGAGGTGGGTTTAGGGTTTAGGGTTTAGGGTTTAGGGTTTAGGGTTTAGGGTTTAGGGTTTAGGGGTTGAGGAACCCCCAACCCCTAAACTCGGAGGGGGTCAGCCTTTCAACTCCCCAACCCCTAAAACCTACAACGCCCTGACACACCCTCATAAACCCTGAGCACCAGACCCCTTAACCCCTAAACCCCTAGACACCTAAACCCTATAAACCCTATAAACCCTATAAACCCTATAAGCCCTATAAACCCTATAAACCCTATAAACCCTATAAACCCTATAACCCTATAAACCCTATAAACCCTAAACCCTAAACCCGAAACCCGAAACCCTAAACCCGAAACCCTAAACCCTAAACACGAAACCCTAAACCCCCTAGCTTCCTTCTGTGGATGTAGGATTTACAAGAGGCCTCAGCCGCCGATGCCTGGCTACCGCTGCACTTTGCGGCGCAAGGTGGCCACGTGGAGGTGATCCAGGCCGCTTTTGGGTTTAGGGTTTAGGGTTTAGGGTTTAGGGTTTAGGGTTTAGGGTTTAGGGTTTAGGGTTTAGGGTTTAGGGCCTTCGGCGGTTTAAGGTTGTTGAGGTTGTTAGGTTTATGAGGTTTTCAGGGTTTGAATGTATGCGAAGGTGCATGGGGAATGTTGAGGGTTTAAGGGAGCTTGGAGGTTTCGATTTTTGCTGTGGCACAGGGGCTTAGGGGGGTTTTGGGTTGAGTATTTGTTCCGTGCTCAGCTTGGAGGAAACCGCCAAGTCTCGAGCAAAGACCAGTCTGCCAGTTCGGAGCTCACAGAGGTACTCTGTCTTCCAACATCGTCGGGTGGCCCTGCATTCCAAAATCCCACCTCCCAGGACCCTAAACCCTAAACCCTAAACCCTAAACCCAAAACCCAAAACCCAAAACCCAAAACCCTAAACCCTAAACCCCTGCAGAGGCCCTGCTCCGGCGCGGCGCGGACGTGAACAGGCTCCGTTTTGGATTCGAGCCTTCTGCTACGCCCCCAGCCGACCCAGCAATCTCAAAGCCTCCTCCTAAGGCCCGAAAACCCGAAGCCCTACCCTAATGCTCAAGAACCCTCAAGGCCTAAACCCTAAACCCTAAACCCTAAACCCTAATCCCTAAACCCGAAGCCCTAAGCCCTAAACCCTAAACCCTAAACCCTAAACCCTAATGCCTAAACCCTAAACCCTAAACCCCTGAGGACGTCCAAGGCAGGCGTCACGGCCCTCATGGGAGCCGCCAGATCTGGCCACCTCGGCGCAACGCGGGTGCTGCTGGAGTCTGGAGCGGACACGGGCAGCACGGCTTAGGTTATAACTTGGGATGTTCCCCCTGATGCTAGCAGCGCCTTAATAGGGATTAGAATAGGGCTTAGCTTACAACCTTCACTCCCGAGCAAGTCATGAAGCCATCACATGAACACCACTAAGACTACGAATCAAGCCAGATTCCTCTTTCAAGGGTTTTGGAGCTCTCTGGACATTTGCGAACCTGCCCTCCGCCCCTTAGCATTTTATCCGGTCCCAGACCCCCCATAAAAAAAGCCCATAGAAACTTCGTAATTAGCAGCCCCATTGAAACCCAATCTCAGTCCCATATCCCTCAGCCCGAAGCCCTAAGCCCTAAGCTCTGAGCCGTAAGCCCTGAGCCTCAAGCCCTAAGCCCTAAATCCCATAACCCTAAACCCTAAACCCTAAACCCTAAACCCTAAACCCTAAACCCTAAACCCTAAACCCTAAACCCTAACCCACCTAAGCCCCATGGGATCCAGCGCATGCCGAGGCACCCGGGCCAATGGCAAGACTGCACAGCAGTGGGCCGCGAATCAAGGACACTTGGGAGTCTACGATCATAAGGGACCCCAAATCTAGACCCCAAATTGTAGGATTCCCCTATAATAAGGACCCCAGGAAGGTGCCCCCCCCCCCCCCCCCCCCCGAATTTCGGAAACCCCATTTTTTGAAGGGAAGTAGAGGGGCGACTCCACGAAGCCCTACATCTCTACTCTCGAAACATGGAAGGGGAGGGTTGAGGGGCTGCTTGGGGGTTCAGGGGTCTGGGGGTTTCGAGTTTAGGGTTCAGGGTTTAGGGTTAGGGGTTGATTTGGGGGGTTTCTGGGCTCCGCTGCTTTCTCGCAGGGCTCAACGACATCGCCGAGCTCATCGCTTCCTTCAGCCCCTGATTCCCTTGGCCTTCGGCTCCAGGAAAAAAAGGGAGCAGGTGACAAAGTGGGTTTAGGGTTTAGGGTTTAGGGCCTCGCCTGGCAGCGCCTTCCATTGCACAGCTGCATAGAGCCTGGGGTTCATGAAGGGAGTGTCAAACCCTGCTTCATCCGCAGCCCGGCAGGTGCAACCAGGCAGGTGACGGGAAGAGAGGTGTCTTCACGCCCACCTGGCCTACTTGGGCCGAAGGGCTTCAGCCTTCCGTCCTTGTGTGCAGTGCAGATAGGTGGCTCGTGTGTGCAGCCAGTTCGCTGGCGTTGTTTTAGAGGAAGGCTTCGTGTTAGCTCGTACGCACCACATGGGGGGGGGGGGGGGTGAGGCGGAAGTGGGGGGGGAGGGCCCCAACCCTCACTCAGATCTCAGTGCATGCCAGGTTGGAGTCCATGGCTGAGATGAAGGTCAACCTCAGCAGGCGGCATATCTCCATCGTCCTGAGGCTGGATTGGGTTTTGGGCCTTTCTCTTGTCTTCGTGCTCTGACTGCGTGTGGAAGCTCCACATCCGGGCTGGAGGCAGCTTGAGGCTGCTGCGTACGTACGGGTCGGAGCAGTGCTGGCTGTCCCCGTAGAGTCCCTTAAAAATTATGCTACAATAACCCCCCCAACCATATTCTAACTATTAAGGCCCCTACAGTTTATGTTAGGAACAAAACTTTCAGTTTCTGCGCAGCCGTTAAGGGACACAGTGTTAATCGTTAGCTCTCAGGTCTTTGCAAAGGCCGATACACAAGAATATAATACAGAAGGAGCAGATTAACAAATGAATACAATACATACTTGGTATGCAAGAAACATTGTACTATATTATATGGGCATAGAAAAATAACGCGAAAACATGAGAATACATACATATGTGTATATGTGTATCTATACATGTTCGATACCCTTCCACCCATTCATTTAGAGTGGCAAGTTTGAGTTTCCTGTAGGGTCGGCAAGAAGCTGGCCCTGCATGCCACTAGCGGTCCCTAAACCCTAACCTCAAACCCTCAACGCAAATGCTCCAAGAAGGAGCCTGAAGCCACAGAAGCCTGTAGAAGCTTTTGCGTTGTCTGGTGGTGGTCCAGGCTGCTCTTCAAGGACTATCGCAGCAAGAAGGCAGGTTTAGGGTTTAGGGTCCAGGGTTTAGGGTCTAGGGTTTAGGGTTTACTGTAGGGTTTAGGGTTTAGAGTTTCAGGGCGCTAGGGCTGAAGGCAGCCTAAATCCTGAACCCGAAGCTCTAAACCCTGACCCCTAAGCCCTAAACCCTAAACCCTATACGCCCCAAAACCCTAAACCCTAAACCCTAAATCCTAAACCCTAAACCCTAAACCCTAAACCCTAAACCCTAAACCCCAAACCCAACACCCAACAGGCCACAGCACAACCAAGAGCGCCGACCATGTGGCCTCTTGAGTTGATGGGCAGGTCGAGACCCTGGAGCCCTTGCTGGATAAGATACTTGCCTGCCTGGTTCCGCGCAAGAACCCCAAGAAGATCTCGGACACGTGCCCGCTTTTGGCCCTAAACCCAAACCCTAAACCCTAAACCCTAAACCCTAAACCCTAAACCCTAAACCCTAAACCCAGTGGTACCCTTTGGCCCTTTCCGGGTTCCGGGCTCCATAAATCCTGGTAGCCAACCCCCCCGAAAGAGAACTGTGCTTAGGCGGTGAAGTGTTTTGGGAGCAGTGCCCCCCCCAAAACCATCCCCGACACCCCTCAATGCTACACCACAGCTCCAAGACACCTCATGAACCTTGGCTCCCTACGCCTTAATGGCCAATAAGCCCAACAAACACAACAAATCCTCAAAACCCGATAAACCCAATACACCCAATAAGCCCTGTAAACCCTATTAACTATAAACCCTATCAAAACCCATCAAACCCTATCAAACCCTATAAACCCGATAAACCCTACCAAAACCCGGAAAACTGTACAAACCCCAAACTAAACCCCAAAACCCTAAAACCCTAAAGCCCTAAAACCCTAAACCCTCAGCCCTCCTAATGTTGCAGGTACAACCGTATCGTTTGGGAGCTGGCGGACGCGCCTCGGTCTGCAGTGGTGGAGTCGCGGGGCTTTGAGTCCTTAAAGTCCCCTAAGCCCACTGCTTTAGGGTTTAGGGTTTAGGGTCTATAGTGTTTAGGGTTTAGGAGGGTTTATAGGGTTTAGGGTTTAGGAGGGTTTATAGGGTTTAGGGTTGGGAGGGTTCATAGGGTTTAGGGTTTAGGAGGGTTTATAGGGTTTAGGGTTTATAGGGTTTGATAGGGTTTGATAGGGTTTGATAGGGTTTGATATGGTTTGATAGGGTTCGATATAGGGTTCGATAGGGTTTATGTTTATAGAGCTTAGGGTTTAACAGGGCAGCCAGGATCCCCGATCTTTGTGCTTTGGGCTTGGCATTTTCTAAGCCCTAAACCCTAACCCAAAACGCTAAGCCCTAAACACTAAACCCTAAACCCTAAACCCTAAACCCTAAACCCTGAACCCTGAACCCTGAACCCTAAACCCTAAACCCCTGAACCCCTGAACCCCGTAGGCTGGCGAGCCGGACATGGCAAAGCAGTGGGTCGAGCGCTTGAGGGCGGACGGCTACGAGCCCCGCCCTGAGAGAGAAATTATGGGGCTTTAAAGCCTGTAAACCCTATAAACATAAACCCAAGAAACCCTATAAAGCCTATAAAGCCTACAAACCCTATTATATAAACCCTACAAACCCCATGACGGCATGTTTTTTGCAGCTCTGCAAACTTTTCGGAGGCCGTCTGCATACCTAGGCTTCAGGCGGTTCAGTGCGCGAAGTTAGCGCAGGCTGGGGCGGCCTAGGATGAGTTTGGGGGTTCTGGGGGTTGGGGTTCCGGGTTTGCGGGTTTCGAGTTTAGGGGTTGAGGGGTTGGGGTTTAGGGGTTTAGGGGTTGGGGGTTTCGGGGTTTAGGGGTTGGGGGTTTAGGGGTTTAGGGGTTTAGGGGAGTTAGGGTTTTAGGGGTTTAGGGTTTGGGGCTTCGTTCCTAGTGGTCAGGAGAGTAGGAGATTTGGAAGATACTGCTGCTTTGAGGAAGTATCGAAAGGGCACCAGCGGTTCAGAACTGTTCAGGGTTCTTGAAGAACGCGATGGGCTTATTCAGGGCGATTCTGCTTGTCTCTGGGGGAACGGCCTTGATTCAATCACAGTTACCCAGAAAGGGACACAAATGTAGGGAATGCCAAAATCCGGCTCGTTTTGCTTAGACTCCGCGAGTCTAGCCGTCGACTCATGACAAGAACGCACGCTGATGAGGCAGATAGCTGTCCCAAACCTTGAACCCTGGCCCTGAACCCTAAACCCTAGACCCTAAACCCTAAACCCTAAACCCTAAACCCTAAACCCTAAACCCTAAACCCTAAACCCTGAGTTCTCATGATCCTTGTTAAGAGGCATACTTCGCGAACGGTGATGGAGTCTCGGCACTCTGGCGTGACCCTCGGGACATGTCACATGAGTTCTCTAAGTTAACAAAAGGGGCCCTAACTTAGAGAACTACCCCGCCCCCCCAAACCCTAAACCCTACATCCTAAACCCTAAATCCTAAACCCTAAACCCCATATCCTCAACCCTGAGCCCTAAACCCTAAACCCTAAACCCTACATCCTAAACCCTCAGCCCTAAGCCCTAACCCGAAATAAGCTGCATGCTGGGAGCAAGGTGGCTGCAAAATGGGTTGCCGCGGGGCCGGGTCCTGAGCGGTGACATCCCGTCGTCCAAGCCTAGAACTTTCAAATGCGCAGGGTTTGGGGTTTGGGGTTTAGGGTTTGGGGTTTAGGGTTTGGGGTTTGAGGTTTAGGGTTTTAGGTTGGGGTTTGGGGTGTTCGGGGTATTTCGGGCATGTAGGGTATTTGGGGGTTTTCGGTATTTGAGGTATGTAGGGTGTCTAGGGTTTCGGCTGTCTGGTTCGGGGTTGTTGGGGTTGAGGGTTTCTCGGCGTGGGGTTTGTTGTTTAGGGCTTGGGGTCTAGGGCTTAGGAATCTTATTTCCCTATAAAAAACCCCTACATACCTTATCAGGGTCCCTCCCTCAGTCCCTTAATTTGGGAATCTTAATCCCCTATATATACCCCTATATACCTTATAAAGGGTCCCTCCCTCAGTCCCTTGATTTGGGGGCCCACTCTCAGGAACCACGCTCCGCCGAAACCTGGGCCACTTGGCAGCAGCTCAAGGGGCCGGGGAAGCCAATGTGGGCGGATCGTGCGCCCGCCCTAAACCCTCAACCCTAAACCCTCAACCCTAAACCCTCAACCCTGAACCCTCAACCCTAAACCCTAAACCCTCAACCCTAAACCCTAAACCCTAAACCCAAATCCCTAAACTCTAAACCCTAAACCCGAAACCCGAAGCCCTTAACCCTGATTTGCCCCAAGCTGAGGTCTGCTTTAGGGAACCCAAGGAGACCTTGTCGCATCAACTAGACGGGGAGTGTTCCGAAAATTCGCTGCACCTACTTTAGGCTTCCTCGAACTAGGCATAATCCCCTCCCTCCTAATAATATACCCCCCCCCCCCCCACCCCTACCCCCTGACATTAAACACCCCCCCCATGTACTCTAGTCTAACTATTGCTAGGAGTATTTGGTATTAGGGGCTATGGGGGGTTTAATATTCGGGAGAGGGGAATGTGCATCTGTAGTTCGACATGCCCATGTAAAAAGACCCTGTTATCCGACTCCACCACCACCGCCGCCGACCCCACCACCGCCGACGCCGCCCACCGACTCCACCAAGCCCTGACACCCCAAGGGTTTAGGGTTTAGGGTTTAGGGTTTAGGGTTTAGGGTTTAGGGTTTAGGGTTTAGGGTTTAGGGAAACACAGCCGTGAGACCCTGAGCAGCCCACCGCTCTTGGCAAACTTAAGGGCCTGGAGCAAGCTGGAGAGGCCCAAACGACCCTAAAGACCCCTAGCGCCCCAAGAACCCTCAAGCCTCAAACCCCAAAACCCTAAACCCTAACCCCCCAAACGCCATCCTAAACCCCATAGGCCTTGAACCCCCTCCCTAACAGTAGTTACATCCTCCGGCCTGAAAGCCCCAAATCCCTAGAACCCTGAACCCTAAACCCCTAACCCTAAACCCCAAACCCTAAACCCCAAACCCTAAACCCTAAACCCCAAACCCCAAACCCTCGTTAAAGCCCCAAAGCCCGAGCTGCAGAGGACTCTTTGTGGACACCGTGGCCACGAAGGGCAAGAAAGCGGGCGCGGGTGCCATCCTCCAGCCGGGTGCAGTGGGTTGGGGGGGGGCGAGGGGAGGGGAGGTTTGGGGTTTAGGGTTTGGGGTTTGGGGTTTGGGGTTTAGGGTTTGGGGTCTCGGGTTTGGGGTCCAGGGCTTGGGATCTAAGGTTTGGGGTGTCAGGTGTAGGGTTCAGGGCTGTGGAGGTTTGGGAGGGTTTAGGGCTTGAGGAAAGGCCGGCCGGGTCATGCTCGGCGAGGGGGGGGGGGTGTTCATGCGAAGCTCGCGCGCCTAAGGTGTCGGTGTGGTGGTGAAGAGCAGCCGGCCCAACTACGGCTTCATCAAGCTGGACGAGCCTCCGTTCAAGCTATACTTTCGTCGAGCAGGCGCCGACCAGCAGATCAAGCCCTAGACCCTAAACCCTAAACCCTAAAACCGTACACCCTAAACCCTAAACCCTAAACCCTGAGCCCAAAGCCCAAACCCCAAGCACCAAACCCGCAAATCTGCTTCGGCCCTGCCAGAAACCGCTGGGTTCGATGACAAGATGCCGGCGGTTGGCACGAGAGTGCGCTGAGCACTCAGGTTTAGGGTCCGAGGTTGGGGTTTAGGGTTCAGGGTTCAGGGTTCAGGGTTCAGGGTTCAGGGTTGGAGGGTTTAGGGTTTCGGGTTCAGGGTTCAGGGTTCAGGGTTGGAGGGTTTAGGGTTTCGGGTTCAGGGTTTAGGGTTTGGGTATAAGGTGTAGGGTTCAGGGTTTAGGGTTTGGGTTTAAGGTGTAGGGTTCGTTGAGGTTTAGGGCTTCCGGTAGTATGCAGATAACATGTCTACTCGAAACGAAACAGAGCCATCCGAACCCAAGCCAGAAAAGCCCATTTCACGCACACCTCTGCGCATGACGCCCGTGCGTTGTAGCTTACATGCATCCTCGAAGCTTGACCATACATTTCCCTGTTTGCTTTGAGAGGGGTGTAGGGTTTAGGGTTTAGGGTTGTTTAGGGAGATGCTTTCGAGAGAGAAGTCAGGCTTTTCTTCAGGGACGTCTTCGGCCGGAGGGCCTTCTCATTGCTTTAGTTTCTCGCCTCCGGATTGTCAAGGCTGCATGGCGAAAGACGCGTTGCTGCAAAGACGCCATGTGAAAACCATCGTCTTTTGTATCTGGACCGCGAACTTTTAGCTCGCCCTGTGGCAAAGGCGGGGCCGTAGTTTAGTGCGCTAACCAAACAGTATATTTTCTTGCTTCAGAGCATAGACATGGCAAGCTGCCTTAGGTACCCTGAAGCCTGAGCACCAACCATCCCCAAAATCCTGAACCCGGCCCTGGCCCGAACCCGGGGTTCCCGAAGCCCCAAAAGCCTGACGCCCCAACACCTGCGCTCTGCTTAGGTTTCGACGTGGTGCTGGACAGAGACGACCGGAAGCTGGCCGCAAACATCGTTCCGTTCGATGCCCCGAGACAGCCAGGCCTCCGCGCGATTTCCCGTGGTGGCGTGGGGGGGGGGGGGTGGGGGGTGAAAGGAGTAGGGGTCTCGAGTTGAGGATTCAGGGTCGATTGGCGACGAAGTTGCAACTCTCTAAACTCCCGAACTCTTGAATAACTACCCTGAGCCCTAAACCCGACCGACACCCGAGCCCTTTTGGGTAGCTGGAGATATAATGAACCCTAAACCCTAAACCCTAAACCCTAAGCCCTAAACCCTAAACCCTAAACCCTAAACCCTAAACCCTAAACCCTAAAACCCTTGGGATCTAAAGACCTTTGCTACTTGACTTCCTGCAGCTCTGGGCTCTGAGCTGCTGCTAAGTGCTAGGTTGCGCCGGCCTGCGGCCCGAGCCCTTTGGGAGTCAGTTGCTGTTCAGGGTTTGGTTTAGGGGTTAGGGTTAGGGTTTAGGGGTTAGGGGTTAGGGTTTAGGGTTTAGGGTTTGGGGTTTAGGGTTTCGGGTTTGGGGTTTGGGGTTTGGGGTTAGGGCTAGGCTTAAGGAGTTCAGATGTTATTCGAGTTGGCGAAGGCCATTTTCCCAATTGGACCCAAGACCTGCCTTTATGCCAGTTAAGCGATGACCGTTGCCCGCATGCGTTTGCTCACCAAGCCCTTCCAGAAATCCCATCCTGCTCCGAAAGCCTCGCCATCACACTCGACCAATCACTAGCCACATGGTCCTCCAAACAGAGGACCGCATTGTCGAGAACCGACCGCACAATGGCCAAGATCACGAACATGTGCCTCCTAACGAACATGTACCTCCTACCCTGAACCCTTCGCCCTAAGCCTCAAAGCCCAAAACCCTAAACCATGAACCCGGAGCCCTTGCTCATTTCTGAACCTAAACTAAAACTTGCGACACGCCCAGAGCCCTTCCCCGGCGACCGTGATATTGACAGTGGCTAGGTAGGACTCGGGCATTTTTTATATTTGGCTTTTTGCGGCTTCCGAGGATGTTACGTAAGAATATTGTGCAAACGGCTTAAAGAGTCAACTTGAGAAGCTATCGACGCGTCTGGCATGTTTGTGGTGCATGTATCTGCAATGGTTTGTCCTGAGACTTTTTCAAAGACCCTGTCAATCCGAAAATCAACGCGATGTGCAGATCAATGTGTATCTGGTGCTTGATTGTTGACGTGCCAGAGAGTCGGAAGCGGCTGTGTGATGAAGCAATTGCAAATCTGTCAATCCCCTGACACGCACGGGTGACGAACACACTGCAACACCTCTAGCTTCTGAGTGCCACAGCTAGTTGTCGACGGCGAGCTTATTTGCGTGTGGCAGAGTTGTGCCGGGGAGGCGCAAGTGGCTGTGTGATGAAGCAATTGCAAATCTGTCAATCCCCTGACAAGCACGGGTGACGAACACACTGCAACACCTCTAGCTTCTGAGTGCCACAGCTTGTTGTTGATGGCGAACTTATTTGCGTGTGGCAGAGTTGTGCCGTGGAGGCGCAAGTGGCTGTGTGATGAAGCAATTGCAAATCTGTCAATCCCCTGACAAGCACGGGTGACGAACACACTGCAACACCTCTAGCTTCTGAGTGCCACAGCTTGTTGTTGATGGCGAACTTATTTGCGTGTGGCAGAGTTGTGCCGTGGAGGCGCAAGTGGCTGTGTGATGAAGCAATTGCAAATCTGTCAATCCCCTGACAAGCACGGGTGACGAACACACTGCAACACCTCTAGCTTCTGAGTGCCACAGCTAGTTGTCGACGGCGAGCTTATTTGCGTGTGGCAGAGTTGTGCCGGGGAGGCGCAAGTGGCTGTGTGATGAAGCAATTGCAAATCTGTCAATCCCCTGACAAGCACGGGTGACGAACACA